GAACTATTTATTACTATCCTAGTCATTTTAAATAATTGCTATGTATTTCATTTCAAACACATTATTATTATGGCTATTTAATATTTATGTTTATTGTGGAATGAAGAAATGATTGGTAGATAGAAAAAAATTCAAAATACGGAGTTCAAAAGTAGCTCAGAAGGCGGCAGAATAGGGCAAACAATAAGAGGGATTTATGGTAATGAAAATATTAGAACATGATGGGTACTTCCCCAATGTGTTCCACACAATCCCTCATACCCGCTAACAACGTTTCACTGAACACAGACAGGATACATGTCAACCCTGACCAATAAGAGTGGTCGTGACACTAACAGTCACATTAGCGATACATGATCAGTATGTCCTTAATGCACAGTTGTGATAGCTGTGTTACCTAGTAGACACTTAAAAACTGAAATCCAGAGCACAGGGACCTTACACAACTCATTACTAAACTACTTATAAGCAGGAAATGTACAAAGGAGTTGGCTTCAGCTTGCTGACAGTGAGAATTCCTTGGTCAGGAAAGGCAAACACGAACACTTGACACAACCCTCAGGTTGTCCTTCCACTCACGCCAGCTCCTCTCTCCAAAACTAAACCCTAACCAGTCTCATGAAATCAACTTTGGTATTGTGCTCCCCAAATTCCGGTACCTTAGAGTGAGAGCTGGGAAAACCCACATGTACAATTGATAAAAGGTCCTTAAGGGGAAGCTGTTACACGGACATCGGCAGAGCCTGGTTCAGCAGCTGGTGAGCAGCGATCTGCATGTAAGCCATGTAGGTATAAAAGAAGGTTGTGTGGGAAGTCAGAGTAGAATAAAGCCAATGCCTATCCACCCAGGAGGAGAAGGTGGAGGAAAACAGAGGAGAGAGTATTAGAGCTTGCCGTTTATATTAGAAGAGACTGCAGGAAATTAACACTCACAAATTCTTCCTATTTCAAGAAAGCTGCTGCTTTACAATCTGACTTTGACGCCGTTCTCATTCATACGTGGGATCTATTTCTCTTCAGCAACAACCTGAATTGCCCTTACGATTTGTTCAAGCAGAACACAAAAACAGTTAAGTTCTCAAGACACCTTACAGTGTGGCCTTTGTCCAATCGGAAGGCTGCTCTCAGGCTCTTTCCAGGACCAAGCAAGCCAGGTAAAACCCAACTCACTGCTCAACCAAATGTGACCCAGGAGACAGACCAGAATTGACTGGCTGGAAAAGCACTAGCTAACCCACCATTCCCTGAGGATTACACTGTGCTGTTATGATTTTTGAGGTGTTTTGTAATATAAAAACGGAGAATGGAAAGAGAATGTAGCTGACTCCTTATTTTATTTTAACTAAAATAAAACATCTAAGATTAGGAGCTGTAAGTACCCCGAAGAGATTTTTTTATGCTTATCTGTTTTAATGATTCAGGAAGTTAACTGGAAAGCTACCGAATATGATCTTTCATTCTTAACTTTGAAGTTCATTTATTTCTATTGGAAAAAAAAAAACATTACATATGCCATATAAAAACTTATGTTATCTGAAAAAAATGTGAAAAAGCTAAATTTAAATATTACTTCTGCTGCTAATTTAGCACTGAGTTAAAAATTTGATGATTGAGGGTTAAATAACCTCCAGAATTATTTCCTGGGAAATGAATACCATCTGCAAAAATAGGAATTTTTTTTTCCCACTGCAAGCTCTCAGTAAAGCAAAAGAAAATGCTGTCATCAAATTATCTGCAAAGCTTTAATTAAAGTAAGATGCTAGAGGAGAATTCATAGTTCTTACTAGACAAAGACATATAGAGAAATATCTGGCAGATATTCTTCAGTTATTTTATGAGTTTGTATGCATGTGCAAAACCAACACTAAAAAAAGTATACATGGAGTGCAACAGCCACCAGGATATTTCCACATAGGATATTGAATATATAGTGTTCTCCTATTTATCTATCCGTCAAACCTCTGGCAAGCAACTAATTTCTGTTATTTTTTCCCCTTGGGGCTGGCACGAGAACCTGGCGGCTAAATCCTTGCCTTGTAAACACCTGGATCCCATAAGGAAGCCAGTTCATGTTCCAGCTGCTCCACTTCCATCCAGCTTCCTGCTTGTGGCCTGAGAAAGCAGCTGGGGATGGGTCAAAGCCTTGGAGACCCTTAAGAGGCTTGAGGCTCCTGGCTTTGGATCGGTTCAGCTCTGGCCATTGTGGCTACCTGGGGAGCAAACCAGTAGACAGAAGATCTTTGTCTCTGTCTCTCCTTCTCTCTACAGATCTGTCTTTCCAATAAAACTGAAATAAAGCTTAAAAAAGATTTCCCAGGGTGTTGCTAGTAAAGCTGGTGAGAAATGCAGATGTGTGTAAGTTCAAATCTAATGGCAGAAAATGACGGTAAAGCCAACCCTTGAACAGGAGTTAAATTCAGAGTTGCCATAGCACCCACCCACGTGCATAATCACACACAAAGGGGTGGCAAAGACAGGAAAGCTGTTAGCAGAGAATAGGATCTTCTGTTAAAAAGACAGAGGCTCCCATGAATGTAATTATAAGCAGGAATCCTAAATTTTAGTCAGAAACATTGTTTAAAGATAGAAGACTTTCAAGTATTAGAATGTTATTTAATAAACTGCTCTCTCAAAGACCCTACCATGTGTACCCTTGACTCTAAACTTTATTGGCTGATGAGATTATGCAGTGGAAATGAATTCAGTTGAACATACACACAATAGGTCTAAGATTTAATGCTTTCCTCTCTAGAACATGAAAATGTGTGGTTTGATTGATCTGAGCAAGTTACTTTATGAGTGTCCTTATCTGAGCAGTGAGTATGGAAATGCACAAAAGAAATCTGATGAGGATCTAATAAATTAGCATTCTTTTTATTGACAATAATTAATAATTGGTAAGCTATTAAATAATTTAGTAAAAATGAAGAAGTACCAGACTCATAACAAATGCATAGTAAATATTAGTTCTAATTATAGTCACTATAACTATAACAGATTATAATAATTAGTTTTATAATCCAAAAGCTGCTAAAACAAATGCATATAAGTGGCCAGCAGACAAGATGTAAATGTTAAGATTCTTCTAACACATCAAAAGATAGTACCTTCTCCCCAAGAAATGTCTGAATAAAAAAGGCCAAGTATTTTATTTGCAAATATTGATCACATAGCAGAACCTATCATTCCTTGTTGACAAAATAGTCATGTAACAGTACCTGGTGTCAGGGAGCATTGTGAATTTTGTCTCCCACCACTGAATTATTTGCATATGTATTTGCCTATACATTTGCAATTCATATCCAGACATAAATGCAAACATCAGATTTAGATGCTGCAGTAACAAAGAAAAAGCATTGTGTGATTCTGCTCCATCAAGTTTTATATCTTCATTTTAAGGCTGAGTGCTTCATATTCTAGCAGAAGTAGAATTACATGATCAAGCAATGCAGAAAATAGGAAAGAATAAGCACAGATTAGCATATTTCCTACAGGTCCATAGGTAACTGCAGGTGAAGGAAAAAGAAAAAAGAAACGGGATAAAGCAACCAAGGGAAATTACAGGAACAGAGTGGGAAACACCGTGAAAAGGCAAGGAGAAACTATTAAGGGAAAAATGTAACCAGTTATAATGCAGAGAAATTTGGTAGGATACGGTTAAGTCCTTATCCCATAAAGTTTTTCTTGATGCAATTTTTAAAATCCAGACAGTGATCAATAGGATTAAAGTGGCTTTAAAACTTTTAAAATATCAAGAATACATACTCTTGGACCTCTAAAATTATATTTTCATTTTCAGGGGTATTGGTTTTATTTTAGGAGTGAGGAATACCTGATCTGCAGACCTCAGAAGCCCCATGAAATCATTTAGTCTGGCCATGCCAAAGAAACTCCAGGCAGGATTCAAAATTCAATATAACTATATGGTAGATTAGTTTTTCAGTTGATAATTTTGGTATGATTCATGAATTATGTTATGAATTTGCAAATAATAGAGGGTAGTAAAATTGCATAACTACATTCTATCTAGTAATTTTTAAATTCCAAGTGGAGATGTCACAGGCTATCACTATGGGTTTTCTTCAATTTTAGTGACAGCACCACCTAATTGTGCTAGAAATATTTCACTATCCGACACATCTTTGATTAAAATAATCCCTAGTTTTTCCAAATCACTGGAAATGATTAAACTTGATCTTTATGAGTCTCATGAATGAGCTGAAATCGGAAGGAAGTAGACATGGGCAACACTGGGAAGGAGAACCTTCAAAGACATTGAAATTTTACAAACTTATTTGAGGTTTTGGAGGATACTACAAAGAGCCCATTCAGTGAGGAACGTGTTTGGAGATGGAGAAAAGGGCGATGAGAGGAATGCTGGAATCTAGAGATGCCTGCCAAGGCTTCCTTTCCACCTACTGCATATAGGTAATACAGCTGTGAATACTTACTTACAACTCAAAGTCCCAAGACAGCTGTCCTTGGGGCCTTGTTCTTACCATTAAAATGATGGCATCTATTGAAGAACAAAGGAAAAACATAACGCCTAAGAACATTTTAGGTAGCTCTACAAGAAAATACGAAAACACTTTCTATTATGATGATACAATTAACAATGACAAAAGAGCTTTCCAGAAAGAAGACCCTTTGCTCCTTCTTGGAATGTGAGAGCTTGAGGAGGCAGCGCAGAGGCCTGGGTGGTCCCATTAATTGCACTACTAAAGTTCGTTAGGAATGCTCCAGACCACATATGTTTGTATTAAGTCCTGTATAATATAAAGATAGAAATATTCTCATAGAATGCTAATAGCTATGTTTTTTTTTTTAGTATAACCAACAATCTACACATAATCCCCTGAGACTCAACTGGCATAATATTATTGACAACACAAATAGCTGTTACTAAAATTGAATTAAATTCCTGTTAACAATAAGCAACTTTTCTGGTGGCAAAAAAAGAATGTCTACGCCTGACGCAGGTGTTGATGAGCTTGACCTACCGTCAGGTACATAGCTGCGTAGACACTGAGAGCTGCCTCTTTGGATGGAAAGGTTTTCCTTGCTCTCATGATGAGATCTGGATTGCCTGTGCAGGCTTCTTCCCCGCTGATGAACTGTGTATACTGCTGACATCCAAGAGCTGTATAGTTGGGCTTACACAGGGCAAGAAAATGTGGAGCCAGATTTCCTGTAACAACTTGTCCAGCGTTTACAAATATATCGGTAGCAAACAGTCCAAATGTATAAATTCCTGAGAAAGAAAACAGAGAATTTTAACTCTTCTCATTTTTTTTATTTGACAATAAACCAAGATGAAAATATTTTAGACACTATAAAATATATTATATATGCAAGCACTTGCTGTCTTTCATTTCACTTCTAGCTGGTTCTTCCCTTGGCTTTCTGGTGTGGTAGGAGTGTTAAAATATTTAACATATTGAGCTGTCTACCACTGGCTACATTTTTGTGCTTGGCAGGTTTATAAAAGCATAAGATAAAAGAAGAAACCGTATTCCAAGACGGAGTTTGGGTAATTTGATTTTTAAAATAGAGACACATGTCCCTTGAGAGGATCTAGTCTATCACATTTTACTAATGTTAGCAATCTTCATTTTCCCCCTATTTTTGAAAATGTTTTTTATCTCACTAACACAGCAGAGCAGTTGTCTGCCTTTGATTATGCCTCCTAAGCCCATTCAGACTGATATTAACTCTGTTGGAGGTGCCAATTAGCAGTGAAAACCAACGAGAACAGATTTAATTTAAATATCATGGAAAGTCTTAAGTAAAACAAAATGCTTTCACATTAATATGAATTAATATGTATACACACATATATATATTTAATTTAAAGTTACAGAACAGCTAGTAGCTTAATCACACATAGCCAGTTTAATAAAGTCGAAGCAACTCAATTCACAAAAGGCAACAAAAGTTACAATTTTTCAATTTAAAGTGTTAATTTTTTTGCTTTGGCTACATAAAGGCACAAAAGTATACACACACACAATTATTTTCTGTTTTTGTATATAACGTGCCAATTCACTTGAAAGCAAAAAAAATTCTTTTTATATTTTTGGAGACAGATCTCTCCCTTTCTCTCTCGCTCTCTCAAACACACACACACACAGAAATGGGGAGAGAGACAGATGGATAGAGAGAGATCTTCCATTTTCTCTGTCACTATTCAAATGTTCATCAGGCAGGCTGTGCCAAACTGAAGCCAGGAGACCAAAATGAACCTAGCGCGTGCATCTGGGCAGCAGGGACCTAAGTCCTTGCGTCATCACCTCCTGCCTGCTAGAGTCTGTACTACTGGGAAGCTGCAATTAGAACCAGAGACTGGATCCCACCTGCTTTCAATGAAATGTACATGCATACTCTGATTATGTAAGGAAATACGTTTTTCATTATTTGGGGAAATAAAATCAATCAGGACTTTTTAAAAATTATTCTAAAATAATACTTCCCTAAACAACTGGCTTATTAAGAAGTTGATAGGATTTTATTGTAATAACCAGATGGTTTTCTTCTTTGTCATGTATTTCTCAACTTTTCATTTCCTAAGTCTTTCATAATTATTGGCCATAGCATGGGAAATTAGCATGGGAAATTGTGCACGAACAAATATTTTTACAATATGTGATGGATACCTGTATTTTTAGTTTTCAACATACGCAAAATCTGTGTACAAAAGTTTATGGACAAAAACCTGCACACAGAAAAACTCTATGTGTATCTAAATGTCAATGAAATGGACTTCTGTTTTTTGTTTTTCTGAAATTTCTAAAGAAAACAGAAAGATCTTCCTTTCAGCTCATAAATGTTTTGTGGGTCATTAAAATAAAGCTTATCAAAAACAAAAATATGACACAGAGAGAAATAAAACAGAACTGAAGTCAGTAGAAGTCAGTAGATATGGACATAACCACTACTTCCAAAACCTAATGGCCAAGCACAGGCCATTAAATTGTGAGTCAATTTTTAATCCTTTGAAATTTGAGCTAGATTAGTTCATTTCACTTAACTGAACCATTTTTTTTATACAATGCAGTAGGTTTTATACAATGCAGTAGGAAAATACGTAACAGGAAAATGAAAATGTCTCTTGGTACTTATAAACTTCTCCAAATGTGCTTTAGAATTAAAAAAAAAAAAATCAGTACATCACATCCCAGGCCAATATCATAGCCAACTATAAAGCAATTATTAAAATGGAGATCCCATGAGTGTCAGCTACTTCTACGAGCTCAAGATTGGTCACTACAAAAAATAATGCTTATACTGTAATGCCTCAGTCAACAATTTTCATTGTTCTAACAAACTAGGAACCATGAAAAGGAACAGAAACCAATCTAGTTCTCTAAATGTTTAGTACAATCATGTAATAAGAAAGAAAAAACATGCACAAATGCAGAAAAATACTTAGAGATGTAAATATGATTTGCTTAGGAGTGCTCAGGAAAGCATCAGTTACATAAAATGATTTGTCTTCAGTGTATTGTTTGTCTTGCTATTACTTTGTGCTCCTATGTAGAGAAATGACTCAAGAACACGGAGCTGATGATTATAAACATATTTTTGCAAATTAGAGAAAAATAAAAGAAGAAGGAGTGGACTGGAGAGAAGACAAAGGGAGTTATCTTTACCTTTGAAATACATGAGATTTGTTCTCTTTATATTATTAAAAAATGCAAAAAGCAAAGTTTTCATACAAAATTTTCCCTTTGAGAGTGTATGTGAAGGTTTTGGAGATGTGTAATTTGCTGTTGATAAAAACACAGGTGTTGAATATGCAGACCTTTTTTGTCTCCAGAGAAATGCCTGATGGCAATTGGTTAACCTTTGATAGATTCATGCATAGGTCAGATCATCCATACATCCTATGTTCACAGTCACATTTCTATATGAAAAGTATATTTAATTGTTGCTGTGTCCTTAGCATATCTCTTAATACTGATGAGGATTTTAACATATTCAGATATAATTTATTTTGCTTAGCAAAGCCATTAAAATAATTTGTGTTACATTTCACTTTTCCAGCTAAAATATTTGCTTTGACTGAGTTTCTATTGAGTTACTTTTAAATAATTTCTCAGTGTTCTTATTTATTAGTGCTGTCATTAAAAAAAGAAGCTTAAAATATCAATGAATCTTGCCCTATAGGAAAACTTCCAATATATTTTCAAGTAAACACACACATACACACACAGCTCAGCAGTATTGCACGGAGTGCTACTTGAAATCTATCACATTTCTTCTATTTTCCAAGCTATTTGTTCTTGTTATTTATGAAGCCTAACAACCTACCAGTATTGCTTCTAAAGCTTCCAAACACAATTAACCATTTTTGAAATTATACAATCTTCAGTTTCTTACAAAATACTAAATACACATAGGTGGTGTTCTTTTTTCTTAATATGGAAATGAAATTTCCAATGCAGAGTCTTGCAATATTTGAGAGAAATTAATATGGAAGATTCATTTTTCAAATCACATCGAAACATTTCACAATAGATAAACGAATGTTTACATACAACTAGAATACTGAGTAAGTGAAAGGTTATCTTTATACATAAACATTGTTTCATCAACTATCAAAACAAGTCAACGAATACATACCAAGAAATCGAATACATACCAAGGAATCGGACAGTTCGGCGTACCAGTGGATTTATATAGCAACAGTCTCCGGTTAAAATAGTTTTTTCCTGGTTTTCATAATCTCTTGTAGCTAGTTGTAGACAAAACACAGCCGTTTCTCCAACAATTATCTTGTAAAGAAATAAGGAATTAAGCAACATTAGAATTTAATCAATAGATTTTTATTTTTAATTAGGGTGTAAAAAGATGATTTTTGAAAAAAAAATCTTAATGTGCAACTAAGCCATATTTTTAACCAGGTTTTGTCATTACAATCCCATCCCTATAAATATAAAACTTATTTCTCTCACGTCATGGAAATATTAAAATGACAAATTATGCAAAACAGACCACAGAATTTTTGTTTTGCAAAGACTCATTAAAGCAATAAACAAAGAATCTTTAAAGAATTGCTCAGGTTGGTGTGAGATTGAATTCTGTGCCTCATTTTTTAAAGAAACTGTGCTTAAATATTACTCTTTCAAAACATGTTGTCTCTGCAAGTATTTTGCAAAGGATCAGGGATAGAGATACTAATTTAAAATCACATCAATATTTTTATGAGAATCAGTTCACACGTGTTTGATCTTGCGATCACCCATATACCTAGATTTCTAAGATTTAGTGCGTTCTTTATGTTTTAGTAGAAATGTTATTAACATCTCCTAAGAAGTCATACATGTGAAATAAGCAATGTCAGACTCAACTGAATGGCCCAAGGGGTAGTAAAGATAGCCAGGTTCTCAGGGTCAGGTCTTTGGATTCCACTGCTTCTCATGAACAACCTGTCAAAGAATGTGACTAAAAGAGTTAGAAACCATTAGTGTATCTGCTAGACTGTTACTGCTATGTCAGTTTTTGTACCCTTGTCAAGGTTAATTAACCTCTTAACTAATTAACATTTTCTCAGGAAAATGTTTTTGGGGTCTCTATGAAAAGTACTGACTATGATTACAAGATTTAAAAATTTTTTTAAAAAGTGGAATCCCAGTGCCCATAACACTGTGTCACAAAATGCAATGTAATTAATTAATAAAAAAAGGTGGGAGATTGAGAAGGATAACATGACAGCAGATATTTAGCCTAAATTTACCTCAATACAAATGAAAGTTTGAAGGAAAGACTGCAACTTGGAAAGTCTTCTTAAATTAAAACTTTGAAGAAATGGAGCAGGTGTGTGTTAAAACACTTCAGTCAGCCAAAGGAGGAACAAGAACTACTTTTCGTGAGTACATCAGCTGTCACAAAATCCACAGACAAGCTGTGTAACTCAAACCTCTCTCTGTTTGAATAACTCTTTTCATATCCTTCACGATCTGCATTGTCCCTTGATTTCTGTCTTTAGTATTAACTTCATCCAGATCCATTTCATCATAGAATGTCCAAAACTCTAACAATGTGTCATCCATTTGACCTTATTGCCTTATTCAGAGACCCATCTGGGTTTCCCACTGGACTTTGTCTTCCCCATAGAAGATTATCACCAGGTCTCCACCTCCAGAAAGCCCTACCTCCTGGTACACCAAACCTTAAGTCAGGTTCACTCACTAATCTCTATACAATGTAGTAGGAACCAAATAAATTTTGTTGAATTTGTAGATGAATCCCATCTTCCAGAGAGAACATGTTAAATACATATTGTCTCCAAAGTGCTCTCACTTGCTTTTGATTTGTTGCCTAAATTCTATAATCCAACGTGAGTTGTTTCTACAATAAAATCTCTACCTTTATCCAAGTTCCTATAACCAGATCTTATGTTTATTCTCTGACTTGAAGAATTTTTCAGTTTGTTGGCTCATTCTTGAGTTAGAATGGCTTTTAGGTCACTCCTGCAGTGACCTTCATGCTGCTAGCTCTTGTTTGCCTGCATTTCATCATATGTAATATCCCTGAATTTCCTGTTAGCGTCTTGAGCAGATATGCTCAAGTAGCATCTCAGTCCTTGTCATTTGCCTGTGACTACAGAAGATCTTTTCCACTGGATTAAGCAAAGCAGTGAATTTAAGATTTACAGATTATTGCCAAACTTAGAGAAATGGGGCTTGAGATTAGATCCATCAATATAAATTCTCAGTGTCCAGAAAACAACACTATCAGTCTCTCCATCCCCACAACCACACTATTCTTGAATCTCATCTCCTCTGTAAATTTTAGCTCATTCTTGCCTTTTTGAGAACTTGCCTGATAGTATCTGTGGTTCCCTGCCAGACTAGAAGAGCCTACTCTTGAACTCTTCAACATATCAAGGAAACAGCTAAACTGATCAGATGTACTTAATTCCAATTCCAGCTTCCAGGATGTTCTGTCCAAGGTAGGTATCTTCCCTAGTGCGAGTCACCAAAGTTACGGAAACAAAATTTGTGGAAAGAAGAGATAACTCTCAGAAGAAAGGAAGAAAGGAAGGAAAGAAGGAAGGAAGGAAGGAAGGAAGCAAGGAAGGAACGAAGGAAGGAAAGAAAGAAAGAAAGAAAGAAAGAAAGAAAGAAAGAAAGAAAGAAAGAAAGAAAGAAAGAAAGAAAGAAATGGACGAAGGATGGAGGGAGGAAGAGAGAGAAGCATGTGAAACCATTGCTATGAATTGGTTTCTACCTCAAACTGCCACCCTTTGTGCTTTGCAGGACCTTCTTATGCCCATCCTTGGTTTAGAGTAGCACCTTCCACCATGGTTTCTGGATGCATGTTCTGTCCATCTATTTGGGGTTCATCTCATCAAATGTGCAAGTCTGAGCCTTATTATCTCTTCAAATATAGTCTATTCTCAAGGCTCTAGTTCTTCTTCCCTCAAGCATATATTCATAGATATCCACAGCCAAACTAGTCTCCCTCAACTCTTTACTACTCAACTTGAGTGAAAATTCTCACTGTTTATAAATATTAGATATTCTCAAATAATGTGATTAAAATGATTCTAATTACTATCAGTGGGTCCAAGTAAATGTCTTAAGATTGCAATGTTACACATAGACATCCAAAGAAGGGTCCATAATTGGATGGAAACAATTAATGAATACATGAAGCTGAAAAACTGAGTTCTTTTTAAGTTGATTTGGACAGTACGTACCACTGGAACTTTAGTGTAGAAATGTCACTAAGCTGCTGAGGGCATCTGCAATAGCTATGAAATGTGGCACTCAGATCTCTTGTGTAAGGGAGACTCACAGACTGAAGGCTTCAACAGCTGCTCCTCTGGACCCAGTACCTCATCTGTGCTGAGGCTACACTATGCAAGGCTCCTCCTTTCTGTTGAACAAACATGGTGGAGGTACTATGATGAAACTTTTTCCCTTGAGACATTAGATATTTTCAACTGGGCTTTTTACATTTTTTTAATCAAAATACTGGCTTAATTCTTTCTTGGAATCATGCCACAAACTGAAGAACTTCCCATCCAGTCTGCCTTCCTTCCTCCCCTGAGCTGCTGGAAATCTCCATCATTCTGGGGGCTCCTCCTTTCTCCAGTTTACCTATAATTTTACCTTTTAAATGGGATAAAACCCCAATCATGTTCTACTTTCTCTTAGATTGCTGAATCCTGTTGGCTTTATGTCTTAATTCGATTTCAAACATGTATACTTTCATCACTATTTTTAGTTTAAAATCTAATACCTCATATCATCTCTTTGCAATGAAGTGTTCTTGGGACTCAGTCTTTCACTCCAAATTGTCTATTGCCAGACTTATCAATCCGAAAAACAATGTGTAATAAAAATGGCCTACTTAACAATTTATAGTTTGTCATCATAGCCTATGACAGGTTTTTCTTAAAATATTATTTACAATGAAATCTAAACCAAATTTTTTCAGCTTTTAAAGGTCATATATAGCCTCCAGGCATGCCATGTTTGAGACATAACAACATTTTCATTTGACATCAGACCAGGTATTTCCTTCTATTCAGGCATTTGCACTTGGTCCATGGCTTAATAAGGCTGGTTAAATGGGACAGTATTCAGTGCTTGAGACTTGATTTAAATGTTGCCTGCTCGATTGCAGTTCTGCATCCATTCCTGGCACAACTTGTCCTTCTCTTTCTATGTTGCAATAGCAGTTTGTACATGTATTGTGAGAATTTTCTTATGGTCTTATCTCAGGAGCATCTGTGTCCTCCAGTCAAGTAAGAGTTTCTTGGAGGCAGAGATGGTCTGTCATTCCTGTTCATGCATCCAGTGTTAAACCAAAGTGAGTAACAATCAATGTAAGTGAGATATGAGTGAGTGAAATTAATTCAATCTGCCCATTTCAGTGACAAACAAGTTTGGCACAGAATGTTAAGTCTAAATTTGGAGCTACTATTACTACAGTTTCTATGTAAGGATTAGTAAGTTTTCTCCAAACTTTTCAAGGTGAAGTCAGTTGCTTACTCCCAACTTGCAGGTTGCAAACATCCCCAACATTTCCACAGCTTTTAAGAGAAGGTATTGGTGCACAGAGCACCACTAAGAACCATGACTACTCTTCAGATAGAAAATAATTGAGTGCAAAAAGGGCTCTCCTTTTCCTGCTAGCATGCACACTTCAACTGAGACAGTTCCACAGTACCCATTCTAACTCTATTTTTAAATTTTTTTCCAGTAATTTTTTTCATATCTCCTCTGCATATCCTCGGCTTTTACGTGGAGCTGAGAACCTAATGTTTTGGTCACATCCTCAGCTTTATTAAAAAGCAGGTCTTATTCTGGAGTGACTGTCTGCTATGCTTCTTGCATTCCAAAGACAGATTTGAATGAACTTAATTCGCTTTTTTTGCAGAAAATGAAACAGGGCACAGAAGGCAGCCACTGATGAGGAAGCTAGAAACGCTGTCCTATCATAGCTGTAACAGAACTGCCTTAACAAAACTGCCTTACTCATGTGAACCACAAATGACATGTGTCTCTGGAAAGAGCCGAGGTGATAAGCTGTGTTAACTGGGATCTACTGAGAAGGAGCAAAGCCCCTCTTTCTGCCTGCACCAGGCAGGCTGTGCCCATGGAGAGTAAGAAAGCAACAGAACTTCTTGAATGACACCAGTGTCCCTGCTGGAGAGCATCCACTGATCTCTGTAGGGCCATGCATTCACGGATTGCTCCTTTCTCATGTCAACCAAGATCTCCACTCACCGGGACATGAAAGAGCAAGGAGTGATAAAAAG